CCTCTCTATCTCTTTTTGCACCCCTAGTCCCCATGAATGTAGTACTGTTGGATTCCCCCCTTTAAGCTCAAATTTAGTTTAACTGTTTTATACACTTGAGGGGCCAGCTGTCTTCAAATAAAGGGATCTTTAACTGAGCCTTAAAGAAATAAAGACAGACATTGCAAAGGCAACCTCACAGCCAGTGTTTGTGTTAGTTTTAGTTTTCTTGCCGTGGTATTCTGTCTTATTTACATTAGGTGGGAAAAATCATGTCAGTGCATACAGTTTTTGTAACAATTGGGCTCACCCCCTTTTTTTGGCCAAAAGCCTTTGAGCATTTAGCTTGCCAAATTGTTAGAGGGTGAATTGGTGAGAGTGTGAAAGGTTTCAAAGGTTTTGACCCGTTTAAATACTACGTAATTAATTTCTGACTGATTTAATAAAAATGTGTCATTGGTGGAAAATGTGCAGGGATGAACACAATTAACCATTTGTCATACAGATTAAAATGAAGAAAGTTACGTATTACGTATTTACCTCAGCAGGGTTCTGTCAGAAAAGGTTGTTGAAACAAAATAATCCAACTATATAACTAGAGCAGTATTGTGGTCTTAAATAGGCTTCAGTCTTAAAACATTATGTAAATCCTTCTCCTGTAGCTCTTCAATGACCTCTTCAAAAACAATGCAAACCGATCAGAGATGACTGAGAAGAGACACAATCAGAATTACTTCATGGAAATGATCACTGTTGAAGGGGTGTATGACTACTTAATGTTTGTGGGTAAGTAAGATCTTGTTTATTGTGATATCTTTACCTATTATTTATCATATCATTTTTTTTATTGAATGCAATTTGAAGGTTGTATTTGTTTTAGAGTGGTTTGATCCCCAGATCCTCCCATGGAATTAAAAAAAGATTGTATTTACTAAATACAAAAATATTAGCATTTCTCAAATGAAATATAAAATGATCAAAATCCAGATTTCATGTAGAAATGCTAATCATTTATATATCATAGCTGATTGTTAGAGCATCTGCATTATAGTTACGATGATTTGTTTGTTTGAAATATACATATATATATA